ACTTTTGTCGTGATAGCGACGAGAAACTGGGGCATAAGATTATTTGGGCTCAAATCGCTACTTCTTTCCTTTCCACTGATCGTCATTAGCCCATCTACGATCAACCCTTCTACTATTCTCCCCCCGATCGGGAGTACTGGTCGAGGGACCGAGGTCGTGGTGATTAAGAGCGACCACGAAATTTTCAATTCGGAGATATTTCTCAGTGAGGTTGTAGAAGCAAGTGAGGAAAACATCTTTCTCGGATTGGAGTTCCTTCCACAAGCCAGTCTGTGGGCGAATCCCAGCGATAATGAGAGTCTGAACAGACTCTTTGGGAGTATGAGCCACTTTGTGGAGTTCCTTATGGAATTTGTCTATGTAAGACTAGAGGGATTCATTCCTCTCATGTCGTATGTTGCTCAGATAGCTCAATAGCATCGAGAACTTCCTGCTTGCCTGGAAGTATATCAGGAACGATGAGCTCATTTGTTGCCATAAGCTGATTGATCCCGCGGGAAGCGATATGAACTAACGTTTAGCATGGGCAATTAGGGTTACTACTAAGCAGTGAAATTTGGCCAAGTCAGAGACTTAATGGAGTTCCATGAGGTCGTTGAACTCATAAATATGATCCTGCAGATCTGAATTCCCATCGAATGCCTACATGTCGGGCATTCTGAATCTCGATAGAAGAGGAGTAGTTAAAACTACTGAAGAAAAGGGAAATGCCACTGCGACCTTCCCACACTCATTTTTCTGAGCCTTAAGCTGATCCAAAGCTTGATGTAGTTCCTCAATTTGAGGCAGTAGTTCCTAAATCTGAGGCAACGGAGCTACCAACGTGGGTTTAACCTACACGGTTGCGGTTGAGAAAAGACCGCAAATCAGGCTCTTCCTCAACTCAGCCAAAAGCTCTGACGAACCTCGACACACACTGGCTGGGGCCGTGTGAAGGCATTAAATGGCTTAGAGAGTTTTACCGACCTCTACGGCAGTCTGAACCAACTCGCAAACAACGGGGGTTTCTCGCATGATGACAGTCGAGGTCATCATTTCAGCGACAGTGGGAATCTCCCTACCTTGCACTTTTGTGGGAGTGCCCATGCGACGTGGCGTGAGACAGCTCATACTGCAACATGTCGTCGAGCACAATGCCACTGGTATTCTACTCGTCGTACGACTGGTGTTCGCTAGTCCCTCGGAACCCTTCGGTCCACTGGTCACCACTTGCTTTCCCTTACTTTTGTGCATTGCAGTGTGCGTAGTACAAGCTTTTGCCCTTTTTTCATGCTTTCGCGCGACCTGTAGGCGTCTTTGACGATGGCACCGCTTCATCGGACTCTGGTGGTACGACCAGATACAAACGGTCCAGTCTTTGGCTAACCGTTTGGAGAGTATTATTGAACCTCTCCAGGTGACTCATCACGGTTGGGTCGAGCTGTGAGCTTGAAGGAATATCCGCCATGATACTTTGTTAGACTGGCGGCACTTCGAGAGAAGTGTCATCCTGTACCCGGGGGATTTCCTCATTGTCAAGGTTGGTTCGCTTAGTTTCGAAACCGCGGGCCATTTGCTGATGGGTGGGACTGATTGGTCAGAGGTTTCTGATGAAGAGCAGATACTAAATTAGACCTTCCTTCTAGCGCCAAACTGTTGATTCTTGATTTTGACACCAACGACTCATACATGCAAAGTGCTAAGCGGGCTTAGAGTTACACGTGATATGGAAATATGTAGCAAGAGAATAAATAAAATGACGGTTTTTAAAGTGGTTTGGATGCTCAAAAGCGAATCCTACATTCACTATAGTTGTATTAATAGATGGTTACAGTCAAGTCGCATGTAGTGAGCTGAGTTATAATCTAGAGAGAATACATACATACATACATACATACATACATACATATAGATAGATAGATAGATAGATAGATAGATAGATAGATAGATAGAGAGAGAGAGAGAGAGAGAGAGAGAGAGAGAGAGAGAGAGAGAGAGAGAGTAAGTATGTTGTTTGAGACTAAAAATAAGTCAATCCCGTAAATGAGAGAGGAGCCTTCTATTTATAGTGGGAGGATTCAAGGGATTCAAGATAATAATCATGAGTCTGCAGTCCAGCAGGTGTGGTACAATTCCTAACCCGCTTCTCATTGGTTGTCTGCACGAGAGACATCCTTAAATTGCGTAAGGCTTGGCAGGTGGACGATTCCTAGCCACTTGCAAGCCTGACATTTACCTGCTACATTGACGAGAACCATACCTCTTCCGTCATTGCAAGACGTGACAACATCTAGACAGCACAAAGCCTCCCTGAATTTTGATTGGCTATTGTTGACGAGAGTCCACGTCAGCCCATACTTTTTAGACATAACACCTTCTATTCTGGCAATAGAAGTACAGCTTGAATGGATTGTCATTAGACTTGGATATTCCCTTGCAACCTTTCTTCCACACCTGCATACTTGATTTCAAAAGCCATGACTCCTCTCAGCATCAAAAAATTCAAGCAGTTTTACTTATAGCAAAGATAAGTAAAACAGAAAAATGTTTTGATTAAGAATATCATGTGGTGTAATAGTTGAATCCAAAATGTTTATATAAGGTCTTTGTTAAAAAATTGACTGTCAGAATGCAACGTTAGCTAACTTCTCAAATTTTAACAAACCATTAAAAAATTCAATGCAATTCCACAATGACATGATCACTCTGAATTGAATTTTGGGCAAAACAGAGATTTCAACTTTTAAGTTAGTATTTTCTATTAATAAGCGGTGTGTAGGGGAGAATTTGGGGAAATAGAAAACCACAAGGGAGGTTTTTGAGAATGAGTGAAATCTCATCGGAGGTCTTTGGAATAGACCTTTTTTAAAAAATAAAATAAAGCAAACTTAAAATCCTTGGTGATCGGTAATATAAAATTTAAAAATTGTTAAGCGTGGGGCCCCCCAGATGAGGTGGCAGAATGTGGTTTGAAACAGCCACAGACGTAGCTCACGGGAGAGTCCAACACCCAAATTCCAATTAATCATGGCCCCACGTGCATCGCATCCGTACACTTCTCCACTCTCTCTCATCTTGACAGCCAGTCACTCCAACCGACGGTCAGCGGTCACTTTCATCCCATCGAATCACTAATGGACCCACTAAAACTCGTGGTTTAGATTTCTTCTCTACTCCTTTCGGTCACTGCCCCAAACTCGTCCCCTACTGATTCCATTTCAACGACCCAGATTCATTCAACCCCGCCTTGATCCCCTTTTATAAATGTGCCCAACCCGGCAGCCCCCGAATTTGGGACCAGTACCACGCTTAAACAGACCAGCATAATACTATGTATATAATATTTTTTATATAATATAATATACTAAAAAATATTGGATAAATTATTTTTAATTTAAAATTATTTAATCACCCTTTATTATATTATATTGTATAAAAAATATTATAAACATTTATTAATAAATTAAGCACTTCCAAGATAACTTTATTGTACATTTTTTTTTTATTAAGTAGAATTATAGTTGATTTTTATAATAATTAAATAACTTTTATAAATTATGAAATTGCAATAAATTAAGCGTGTTGCCTACTAAAAAATAATAAAAAAATACTATGTCAAAAATGGTATTTTATTATCATTTTGAATTTGGACTCTTATACAAATAATTCGAAAATAGAATTATTTGTAAGTTTATTAAGTATAGAAAAAATAAATTTTTTTATTATTTCAATATATCAAAAATAGTATTAAGGAACTGAAACATTTTAGATATAGAAATTTTTTTAAATAGATTAAATTATTTTTATAATATTAACATATTCTTAATATAATTTAATATATAATAAGAAAAAGCTTGCATACTCATCGGTTATCAAAGTCCGTTACAAAACACAAATTATATGAACTTTAGAAATATATAATATTTTATGAAAAATATTATCCTTACAAAGAGGGCTATCAGTAAGAAGGAAAAAATAAAGAAAAAACGGAAAAAGATAAAGAGAAAAAAAAATCATAAAGATCAAGGGTAACAATTGACTTTGTAATTGACTTTGTATGCCCTCTTTGTATTTGTCTTTATAAGACTAATATTACTTATATTTTATTCATTTGAGAGAAATTCTAGCTGTTAAATAAGTAAATAAATAATATTTTAAGTTGAAATAACATATCAAATAATTAAAAATACATTGTTTTTACTTTTAAACACAGAAAAAGTAATGTTCAAAAGCTAATAAAAAGGAAAAAGCAATTAAAAAATAATTTTTTTAAATAAAAAAAAAAGAGTTGTATGGATATATTTGGTAGGAGTGAAGTACAGTACTAGTAAAAAGAAATTCAATACTACCAAAAGAGCGAATTTTTTAGGGTCTCATTTAGACCCCATAAGTTTTAAAAATATCTTTTACCTCCTTTTTTGGGTTAAAAATAAAAGGGTTGTCCTAACGTGTTCTCTACGGGCTAAGACACACGTTAAAAACATTATAAACAGGATTTACTCGTATCGATGCATATTATATACAAAATGAAAAAAAAAATCCCATGCATACTATATTTAACATATATCTTTAAAACAAAATTAAGATAACTCAAAATAAAATAATTGGTTAGATCATTTTGACTATTGAATTATACATATAATAAACTTCTCAAAAATAAAAAAATATTAAAATATTATTTTCTTGAAAATACAAAAAAAAAAATTCAGAATAATATATTTGAAATTTATGAACATTGAAAAGAAAAAGGATTCTTAAAATAAATATAACACTCATGAAATTTGAATCATTTTTTTTTATGTCGAAGGTGATTTTAATAAAAAAAAAAAAAAAAAAAAAAGGGTTTCTCTATCTTCCTTAAAGTTTCAAGAAGTTATTGCAGCATTATTTTGAAACTGGTGGACGATGAGTTTTTAACACCAAAACTAACGAACGGAGGTAAATGGTAACTTTCGAAACAATGGTACAAATCAATTTATGAAAATAAGGGGGTGTAAGGTTTTTGGCCTTTATTTCATTGTTCGTTATTATTCCACAGCTGAAGAGAACGGAAATAGCCTGCTAAAACAAAACACAAACCAAATTTTATTTTCTCAATATTAAGGTAAATTTCTCAAACCCTAAGTTTTTATTTCAATTTTGTTTGCTTCCATTTTGAAATTCGCATCAAGTAACAGAAGCAATCTGAATTTTCAATTCTTATTAAATTTTCTTTTTCTTTTTCTTTTCTTTTCTTTTTTTTTCCTTTTTTGTTTCGTTTCTGAGGAAATGGTTCGAATTTTGTGTTGTTTTACAGAGAATTGGAAGAATCGGAAATGAATGTGAAGTGTTTTTCTATTTCTTTTAATTCGCTTTAGTGTTGTTGTTTGTTTTGGATAAATTGGTGGTCTGTTTGGTTAATTTGATTCTTGACGATTTTGATTATTTAATTGAAGTCGAATTTGGGGCTTTATGTTACCTGATTAAGCTGATTTTAGTGTTTAGTTTGAAGAGATTGACAATTTTCAGTTGTTTGTGAGAGTTAATTTGAGCTCATTTCGGTGTTTATGAGCTGGTTAATTTGAGCTGATTTTGTTGCTATGTGGTAGCCCTTCGGTAAAGTTGGTTGGTTCTTGTGTAATTAGACTCTTGAAGGGTAGTCGATAGTGAGTTTAATGTTGGTAGCGGTAGTTTTATGAATTAAATCAGTTGAAAGAGGGGAGATACAAGAGAATTTTGTTTTGTTTGGTGAAGTCATTGTGTAGCTACCTAACCTAAATATTGTTCTCTAAGTCTGGTGTTTACAATTTTCGACAAATTAAATGAATTTGAAGCTTAATTGGTCAAAATCTGCATTTGGGTATCCTAAAGTTTGTAACTCTTACGGTCTAGTTTGATGAAGATGCTTCATTGAATTTCTAAATTGGAACTTGGAAGATACCTCAGAAATTTGAGAAAAATCAGAAATTATACTATATTAGAAGGTGAGCCATGGTGATTGGAGTTCTATCTTTTCCTATGCCAAATTTACTTTCCAACCTTTATAGATGCTAACATCTTATGTTTAATTTGATTGAAATGATTTGGTACTCATTAAACTGTATTCCGTTGATTGTTTTGCCAGGTTCAAGTTGCTGTGTCTGTGCGGGTAACAGCTTCATGACTTCTTCTGTTCATGATCTATCTGGTATTGTATATCAATTTCTTGAGCAAAGCTCATGTTGTTTTGGTACCTTTATAATACATGGTTTTGACTGAAGTAAATAGATTAAAAGATCAAAATTGACTTGCTATTCGGGCATCCAATTAAAGAAAAAAATTTCATATTATAATTGTCCATATGATTCTTCAATATTAAGAAATCACCAAAAAGGGAGTGTTGTTGCCATATTTTAAAACAATTATAGATTATCAAAGTAACGTCTAAACCCAATGATTCAAGGCAAAGATGAAGGATCCTAGAAGAACAAAATATTTATTTCAATTGTCTCTACAATTAGATCAGAATGGAGACTCCAAAAATCAATTTGAACAGGGATAAAAAAAAAGGAGGGGTTTAGAGTACTCTCAAAAAATGAAATGCTTAAGGATTTTCTTTTAGGCTATTTGAAAGTTATCCAACTTGAATTATAAGTAACAATTGTAGCTTCTGTTTTAGGGTTCACTTGTTCTTTTTCTCTGTCAATATGTCATCATCTTATTCCCAAGGATAAGTAATATGATAGTTATTATCCTGTATGAAATCTCAGAATCTTGATAGACCTATATAGTTAGTCAGGATTGGCATTCTTTGTTCCCTAACCTAGCCGAATGATACCCACGAATGAGACCCAATCATAGTTCTTATGTTGGATCTACTGGTTTGGATATTCGGGATTCGTCCCAGTTTGTTCTTGTAGATAGATATCATATTTTAACCAAAGTTATCCCCATCCATAAAAAATAATAATAATAATAATAATAAAAAGCTTTACATTGTTCTTTTTCATTTCATTTATGCCATTGTGATGTTGGTGTAATTCATGTATAATAAAATTTAGTGGCTAAACTCTTGCATTGCCGATTTTACGTTGCTGGATTCCCTTGTCCTAATTGTGTGTCTTTTTGTGAAGCTTGATGTTTTGGTTTATTATTTTGTCATTTGTTATATATCTTGTTCCTATTGAAAATTTTGAATGCAATATTAATTGCTTTTGGAAATTGGCTGTACAGATAACAGTGAAGCTGATGAGCAGCAGAAGCATTCAGAATCCCAGATACGTTCCTCATCACCTGTGAGTGGAATGTCTCACCCTGGCATCACAACCCCAGTGCAGTATACAACTCCTCAACTTGGGGCTGGTCATGCTATGGTATTGTCTTTGGAGTAAATTTTTGTTCCTTCTGTGTCTTATTTATTTATTTTTGTTTTGGTAATGTGGGGTGGAGAGAGCAGCAAGTTTTGCAACCTTTTAATTGAATATCTGCTTAGATGTATTTCTGTGTGCATAATTTTTTTTTGTTGTGGTGTGTATTTGCTCAGTAATTTGATTTTCTTCTTTAAGATTCATTAAAAGAAGTACTAGAAGGGGTATGACCCAGACTTTTGCTTCTTCTGTTTGGTTTAGTTATTATGTTTGATTTGAATACTGTGGGACATTAATGTTGGTCTTTGAAGAAGCGGAGCCTTATTGGGGTGGTGGCAGTCATGGTTACTGATTGTTGGAGATTGTGCTTGTGTTACTATAATGCTAGGGTGATGTTTAAGTGGCGAGTAGGTGATGATGGTCATGAACAACTTTTCCTTATTGGTGATATATAGAGTCATGTGTTGGTGTGACAAGGAGGTGGCAATATTGGTGTAGATGGTGTTTCAATTGGTGGTAATAACAATGGTCTGGCATGGTGCTTAGGTGGTGCCATCCTAGTTCAATTAGATGCTTGTGGTGGTACATGGTGTTTAGATGATAATTTGAAGTATCATTCGCAGATGCAGTTTTGTTGGTGATGATGGTTTAGTCTCTAACCTAATTCTTCCGTAGGTTGTGAGAAACAAATTTGGCATGTTTGTTTTGTGGTACTAGATTGCATAAAAAGGCAGCGTAGCACTAAATATTTTTAACCTATATTGGCAGTTACTAGAACTATTTTTACTGCCGCATTAGTCCCTGTTCAAAGTGTGATGAGACCCATGTGTTTGCTTTTCTTAAGTTGTTTTGCTCCTTTGTTCCTTCATACAGTTGAACTGTTATGTGCATTTCAAATTGTAATTATGTATGACCTTTTACATATTTGATTAATGTTAAAAATAATTATGAATAATGAATAGTAAATTGAGTAAAATATAGATCTATTATAAACATAAATTACATTAAAATTATAATTATTATTTTTTATTTAAATTAGTTTAGTGATAATACTTGAATATATTAATATTATATATAATCTTGTCTAGTATAATACTGTACCAGACACTGTAACATTATATATAAACTAATCTTATACAATCCCAATAAAGTAATTTAGTCTAGTACAACATCCAAAATCACCTGTTTAGTTTTGTGGTTGAGGTTTTTTTCCTTCTTTTCTTCTCAATGTTTTGATGAATATTAGTTCTGGTGATGATGGTGTCACATAGCACTACGAATCCTTTTGCCATAATTGAATCAAAAGGCTAATTCTTAACCAGTGATGAGTTGAAGGAAAATACGAGAAAGAAAAATTATAGTATTTTGCATTTGACTATTTAGGATGTATGAGAAATGAATTGAGAAAACATGTTTGTTTGATTAATGGAAAATTGAGAGGCTATCACAGTTATAACCTTTACAATTATCATCTATGATGGTAGGAAGATTTCATACTTTTTTCTCATGGATATTGAATAGTCATAACAGGTGAAAGTTTTTAAGCCATACTCCTTTCCCTCTACATTCAAACACTTATAGAGAAATAGGCTTTGTGTATTTATTCAAACATGTTTGTTTGATTAATGGAAAATTGAGAGGCTATCACAGTTATAACCTTATAATCAAACTATATCATCTATGATGGTAGGAAGATTTAAATTTCATACTTTTCTTATGGATAATGAGTAGTCATAACAGGTGAAAGTTTTTAAGCCATGTTCCTTTCCCTCTACGTTCAAACACTTGTGATTGAATAGAGAAATAGGCTTTATGTATTTATTAGTTCTCTTCCCTTTTCCTTTTTTTTTTTATTGTAACATACCACCCAAACAAGGGCTTGTAAACACTCCACCTGTTCCTTTCCCTTCCATCCAAATACTAACATTTGGATGAGGAAATATTGAGGTGCTTCTGTTTATGTGGTACTTCTAGAATTCATTATGATAGCCATGTTGTTGATTTTGGATACTTAGCACATGATGTTTGCTTTGCTATTTGAAGCACTTCTGACATTTGGGAACTTATGTCTGTTCACAAATTATAATCTAGTGGAGCCCAAACCGTAATCACCCAGTCACTCCCACAATCAATAAATCACAACAAGTAAAAGACAATAGCCAGTTCAATACTCAATCAAGAACATTCCATCTGTATTGATTTTTGTATTAAGTCAGTGAAGAATGTATTACAATGAAAGGAAATGCAAATAACGTAAGAACACAAAATGAATATAAGCAACAGGCTGATCTTTGAGGGTCAGCTCCTCCTTAACAACTTCCACTAAATTCTTCTCATCCCACACTCATCCAGTTCTTCCCTTTTTATTCCCTTTGATTCTCATGCTAGCTAACTCTTCATGCTTGTTGTGCCGCTGCGCCACTTGTCATGTATTGCTTTTCCCTTTCTGTCCCTTGTGGTTATACATTTGGTTGTCAGGGGTCCATCATTACGCTCTCCAAGGAGTGCCACCTTGTCCTCAAGGTGGAAAGAAGGGAATTGGCGACAAATGGAGTTGTAGGCCTCCCAAGTGTTGTCACAGTGGGGAAGCGATTTCCATTTGATCAACACCTCGTAATTGCCATCAAGTAGTCGCTATTTACGCAGGGCATGTTCTGGTTCAACTTGTAAAACCATGTCACCCATGAGGACGTCAAGAAGGGGTTGTGCTACCACAGGTGGAGAGATGACTTTTTTAAGCTGAGAGACATGAAAAATATCATGTATGCGGGTTGTGCTAGGGAGAGTAAGGCGATAAGCAACTTGACCTATTTTTTCAACAATGGGGTAGGGTCCATAAAAGTGTGGGTTGAGCTTTTCGTTGACCCTATGGGCGAGAGACTTAAGGCGGTAAGGCTACAGTTTAAGGTAGACCAAATCCCCCATGGCATATTGAACCTCCCTCCTTTTAGCATTTGCATAGAGCTTCATATGTTCTTGGGCTTTGGTCAGGTTCAACTTTAACTCATGTAAGATAGTATTGCGCTCCACCAACTGCTAATCCACAGCATCCACAACTGAAGTGTGCTCACTGTATTTCAAAAGGATTGGAGGATCCCTTCCATAAAGGGCCTTGAAGGGAGTCATGCCCGTGGAGCGATTGTAAGTTGTATTGAACCAATACTCTGCCCAAGCTAACCATTTCGGCCAAAGCTGAGGCTGGTGACCTGCAAAGCAACGTAAATGAGTCTCTACACAATGATTGACGACTTCTAATTGTCCATCTGTTTGGGGTGGTAGGCTGTGCTCATATGGAGTTGTGTCCCGGACTGTTTAAACATCTCACCTTAGAAAGGCTCCTGAAAACTCTGTCTCGATCCGAAACGATGGTACGGGGAAAGCCATGCAACTTAACAATTTCTTGAATGAACAAGTTGGTGACCTCTTGGGCTGTGTAAGGGTGGCGTAAGGTGAGGAAATAGTTGTACTTCGTAAGGCGATCTACTACCACCAAAATAGTATCCACCCGATTAGCCTTAGGAAGACCTCCAATAAAATCCATGGATATATCCTCCCAAACTTGAGAGGGAATAGGTAAAGGTTGAAGAAGTCTCGCCGGTTGCAAGGCATCATATTTGTTCTGTTGGCAAATGAAGCAAGCCTTAACATAGGCCTGGATGTCCTGCTGCATGCCTTCCCAGAATACCACTTGTGATAGTTTCTTGTAAGTGCAAAAATAGCCAGAATGGCCTCCTGCGGGAGAGGAGTGAAATTCCCATAGAAGCTATTGTACCTGGGGACTGGATTTGGGTAAAACCAGACGATTTTCATAGAAAAGTAAGGAGCCAACTAACCTGAAATGCAGATGGCTATCCCTCTGAATGGCGTCTTTCCACTCTTCCTTTTTCGCAAAATAATAGACCGAAAAGGCAGTAAACTCGACAGTTCCATCGCGTCTGGATAGGGCATCAGCAGCTTTATTTTCTAACCCTGGTTTTTATTGTATTTCATAGTCTAAACCTAGCAGCTTAATTATCCATTTTTGTTGCTCTTCTCCCTGCAACCGTTGCTCATTCAAATAATGGAGGTTGTGCTGATCTGTTCTAATAATGAAACGTCTACCCAATAAGTAATGTTGCCACTTTTGGACGGCTAGAACAACTGCCATCAGCTCCCTCTCATAAATCGATCAAAGTCGTGAGCGCGTAGAGAGGCCTTGACTCAAAAATGCTAAGGGCCTGCCATCTTGCATTAGGATAGCCCCAATTCCCTGTTCGGAAGCATTTGTTTTAATAATAAAAGTCTTGGAAAAGTTAGGCATGGCAAGGACTGAGACGGTAGTCATAACACGTTTCAGCTCCTCAAATGCTTTTCGGGCCAATTCAGTCCAAACAAAGGAGTCCTTACGGAGAAGGTTGGTTAAAGGCAGGGCAATCTTCTCGTATCTATTTACAAACTTCCGATAGTACGCGGTTAACCCTAGAAACCCACGAAGAGCCTTGACATCTTTAGGAACAGGCCACTGCAGAATACAATCCACCTTGGAAGGATCCACTGCAGAATACAATCCACCTTGGAAGGATCCACTGCCATACCTTGGGCGGAAATGATGTGGCCTAAGTATTCCAATTGAGACTACCCAAAGGTGCATTTTTTTTCTTTTGACCACTAACTTATGCTCAAGTAAGATCTGAAATGTGAGTCTCAAATGGTGCAAATGTGCCTCCAGGTTAGTACTATAAATTAGAATATCATCAAAAAAGACCAGGATAAACTTACGCAATTACGACTTGAATATACTATTCATGAGAGTTTGAAAGGTTGACGGAGCATTCGATAACCCGAAGGGCATGACGGGAACTTCGTAGTGTCCTTCATGAGTGCGGAAGGCCGTCTTATGAGTATCCGTTTCCTTGACTCGTATTTGGTGGTATCCCGACTTCAGGTCGAGTTTTGAAAACATAATGGTGCCACCCAATTCATCAAAAAATTCGTCAATCGTTGGAATAGGAAATTTATCGGGTATGGTTATCTTGTTAATCGCTCAGTAATCTACGCAGAAGCGCCATCCCCCGTCTTTCTTTTTTACCAAGAGCACCGGACTGGAAAAGGGATTGATGCTTGGTTTAATGATCCCTGAAACTAACATCTCTCTTATAATCTTTTCTATCTCATTCTTTTGATAGTATGGGTACCGGTAGGGTTTGATATTAGGGACTGGAGCTCTTGGTTCTAACTTGATAGCATGATCGTGCACTATGGCTGGCAGAAGTCCTAGTAAGGGCTGGAATAGAGTTTCGTATTCCTGGAGCAAGGTAGAAAGGTTACTATTTGCTATTGTTTCTTTCATTTCCTGCAATTGCAAATTGCCAAATTCCAGCAAATAACTTGACCCTGCTGACTGCAACGTTTAATCATCTTCTTCAATGACACCCTAGTCCTACTCAATGAGGGGTCCCCAACCAAAACTACTGTCCTCCTAGATTGGTTGAACTTCATTACTGACTCCTTCCAATTCGTGATGGTCTCCCCCACGGTCTCAAGCCATGCAACACCTAGTATAACATCAACGTTGTTCATATTGAAAGGGTAGAAATCCTGAGTGACTGAGATATTTTGCAACTTCAATTTCACCTCGCGGCACTCCCTTTGACAACTCACCCTGTAACCATCCTTAACCCTTACTCCAAAAGGCTTGGTTTGAACCACCGGAATCCTTAGCTCTTCAACCAACTGTCGATTAATAAAATTGTGAGATGCATCGCTATCAATTAAGATCCCCACGTTCTTACCTCCAATCTCTCCTTTCAACTTCAAGATTTTGGGTCCATTTATGCCCTTCACCGAGCTAATGGAAAGGTCCAGAATCCTTGGTACTTCCTCCTCACTTATACCTTCCTCCGTGAACATCTCCTGCAACTCTGAGTCTTCATCTTCTACCAACAAAACTTGTCACACCGGTGACCCGGTGAATATTTTGCATCACAACGATAACACAATCCCTTTTCTCTCTTTTTTTGTATCTCAACTTCAGTCAAATCTCTTGTAAGGGAAATCTCATTGGAACGAACTTGGCCAGAAGTTGATTGACGACGATGAGTTGGGGCTGGAGTGGGTTTCGAATTGGGTTCTTCGTGGAGGTGGGTTTGGAGCTAAACTGGAAGTGGAGTATCGTGTTAGGTCATTTGGGTGTTGGGCTTTGTTAATTTCATCAGGTCGGGCTGAGTGGCTGTAGGTCTGTGGTCCAAGAACAAACTGGGTCCACTTGTTAAGTCGGGTCGGCCAAAGTCTGGCTTCTTACACAGTCTGATTTCTTTCTTCCACCCTTTGGGCCAACTGGGTTACACAAATAAAGGAATTGGGCCATGTTATTAGGTTGGGTTGTTGAAGCTTTATTTCAGCCTTCACCTCCGGTTTAAGCCCGTTCAAGAAGGCAGTCGTCAGCACCTCCTCCTTCTCGCTGACCATCAACGACTCCACCTCTTCAAATCGTCAGCGATAATCCAACACTGTTCCAGTTTGCTTAATCGCCATCAACAATTCCAAGGGACTTACCTCCTAAGTTCCGCTAAATCTTTGGGAGAGAGCCATTTTAAACTCCTGCTAGTTGATCAACATTAATCGGGTCTCTACCCATTGTTACCAGTGGAGAGCTTCTTCCTCCATGCAAAGCGCGATAGCTGCCACACAGTGCTCCTCGGTGACTTGTTTGAAGTTGAAATAACGTTCGAACCTGAAAATCCTCCATACGGGTCTTCGTCGGAAAAAATTGGCAACTCCAGTTTTCGGCCACCCCAGTCGCGCCGATACCATCCCTCACCGCCTTGATTCCATTCATCCCCTGATGGGCTCCCTTCTTGGTTCACCTGGGTCCTGTTTTCAGTTCGTCCCCCTCTGTTTGCTCCGCCCTGATTTTCTAGATTTTTGTGGATTTCATGCTCATTGGGTTCTACCCTGCCATGACTTGAATTCCCAGTTAAGTTTCGTCGTCGTTCCTCCTCTTCTTCATCCTTTTTACGCATCCAATTCTGCATATCCATCAAGATCTCCCTCATTGCATTCACCGTCTCTGTCACCTTGGCCACATCCTTCTCAACATTATCTAGTCTATTCTCCATCCTTGTACCAACCATACCCTGACTTTGCAAGGCTCTGATACCAGTTGATGGAACCCAAACCGTAATCACCCAGTCACTCCCACAATGAATAAATCACAGCAAGTAAAAGACAATAGCCAGTTCAATACTCAATCAAGAACATTCCACACTCATCCAGCTCTTCCCTTTTTATTCCCTTTGATTCTCATGCTAACGAACTCATGCTTGTTGTGCGACTCTGCCACCTGTCATGCATTACTTTTCCCTTTCTGCTCCTTGCAGTTTTACCATTTGGTTGTCAGGGGTCCATCATAATCACACCATTTAATTCCTTATTTATTAACTATAAGATCGTAAAGTTGTTGTGTCAGTTGATCATTGCAAAATTCAGGGACAAGATGAATTAAGCTTGGAGGTATGGCATGATGTTATTCTTTGTTTTATGGGGGAGAAAACAAGGTTTCTAGTTTTTCCATCATTGAGAGTTCTTGGATCTTGTGGAGTGTTTTGATTCTTGTCAAGGGCTTGCTTTACTTTGTCCAATGATGCTGATTGCTTTATTTGTATCATACCACATTATTTCATTTAAATGATAGTTGTTCTTTTTTCAAGTTCTTTCTTATATATATGTGGCCATAGATTATGCTATACAAAATTGCATTAATTAGGCTAGTGGAGACTGTCAAGGGGAGTAGTTCCTTTTAGCTAAATTGCTTACTTATGGTTCACGAGCAAAATATTAGTTTGTTGCATGATAACACAATTTCAATCTCCCTTGCAAAGACTATGAGTTCTTTCTCTCATTTTCTCTAGAGAGTTTTAAGGTACACTACCCCACAGAGAGACTATATGGTGCTCCAGTGTTGACGGGCACCACACTTTCAGAGACAGAGTTAACAAAGAATTGTTTCTTTTAATTATCAGACTTGACCTCATTGTACAAAGATCTTGAATAATATGGTGTTCTCTTATATACTATATTAGGGATGTGCCCCTTTTTTACCTCTTTTCATTATATTTAATTTTTGTAATCCGAAAAAGATGTGGTTTTTCCAAAGTAATCAGCAGGATTGATCACTAATCTGATGTACTTGTTTTGCAATCTGGTTATTGTTACTGCTTTAGGAAATTGCCATGATTTTCATTAGGGATTTCTTTTGTTGGAACTGATGATCTTTAAGAAAACTATAAATCTGTATGATTTCATTTTTGCCTTATTTTATAATAAATCAGTGTAGATTTTGAATTCTGGTCGCCTCAGATTTCTTTTTATTTTTAGTTCCTCCTCTGTCAGTATTCTAAGGATATAATTTAGTTGACATTGGCCATGGAATTATTTTTACTTCTAAACCAGTGACTTCTCCTGGAGACTGCTTAGCAAAGTCCTAAAATTAAACCAGTCACTAACCTGTACAACCTAATATATCAACTGACTTCCATCTTTGGCTTTATGTTATTCCAGGCACCAGCACCTTACCCATATCCAGATCCCTATTATAGAAGCATATTTGCTCCCTATGATGCACAGCCTTATCCTCCGCAGCCCTATGGTGGACAACCAATGGTATGTCATATTTTCCAATGCTCTCACTAGTAGCCTGATTTGTTGTGGTAACATGATATTGTGCGATTTGGGGTCCATACCTGATTATGAACATATATGTTATTAATTATTTCAGGTCCACCTTCAGTTAATGGGAATTCAGCAAGCTGGAGTTCCTTTGCCGTCAGATGCAGTAGAGGAGCCTGTGTTTGTTAATGCAAAACAATATCATGGCATCTTGAGACGTAGACAGTCTCGTGCAAAAGCTGAATCAGAGAATAAAGCTATAAAGTCTCGGAAGGCATGTTCTTTGTATAAATTTCATTGTAGTCTGTTCAGTGGTTTTACGTCATTGATTGGAATAATATGAAAGCCAGCGGGCTTACTACTCTGTAGTTTTGCCACTGCATTAATTTTTTTCTTTTTTTTGGGTGCATCTTTTTAATCCGTCTTCTCGTGTCTGTTTCTATTGACTAATAGTTCATATTAATCATGCAGCCATACTTGCATGAATCTCGACATTTGCATGCATTGAGAAGAGCTAGAGGATGTGGGGGTCGGTTTCTCAATTCAAAGAAATCTGATAACAAACAAATGGAGGCAGCATCAGATGACAAATCACAGCCCGATATCAATCTCAACTCTGATAAAACTGAACTTGCTTCCTCGGATGGCACATCCTAAAACCCAAAAAGGACCAACATCTCATGGAAATGGCCCCGCAAACAACAATTCATTGATTATGGCCACAGGACTTAGAGATTCCCTTACCAGCTGTAACAGTCCCGGTATTTGCTTCAATCTAGCTCCATACTTAGAACTCAGTAGTAATGTGTATAGGTATCGCAGTAATAGGTCACGTAGGAAGTTTGCAAAGATGAAGCAGAAAATATGTATTGAAGTGCTGTCATAGCTAGCTATCTTCTTGAGAACAGAATTTTTTCTGACCGTTGCTAGTTTAAGTTTAGTTTGCTGTGTGTGCATTTCCGTGCACTTGATATTATTAGAAGTTGGGGTGGTTTTTGGTTTTTTTCTAACAGAAATTGGGGAGTCTTGGTTATGTGACATTAGGTCAGTGTAAAATTAGGATTTGGTGTTGCTGTGTAGTGATTACTTATTTTTAAACTTGAGTTGATAATAAGTCAGAAATGTTTTTGTTTGTATTTCTAACTCTAGCACTTATTTTTTATTCTATGCCACCAAAATTGAAGACTAAGAAAGAGGAGTAATAAAAAAGAACAAATTAGAATTAGAATTTAAATCAAATATTGGTGGTGAATTTAGGTGAAATGGGGTAGAGTTTGAAATTCATTAATTATGATGTTTTTTTATTTTTTTTTTCTTTTTTTTGTTCAAATTCAAGTTTGTTGCATAGTGTAGTTAAGTGTTTGGAGGAAGAAATAATTAGATGGGCCATCAAAATTGGAATAGGGGAGACCAAAGATGTTTGGGGCAAGCTTTTACCCATCACATATTATCGGTGGAAACATGAATGATTGATGCAGTCCATTTGACATCAAAATATATAAATTTATTTAAGTTAAATATGTGAAAAACAAAGAAAATTAACTGTCCTGCATTATAATTTCAAAAAAAAAACAAAAACATTTACCAATTACATTTTATCAACTCGCTTGCATGTTGATCAACATCATTTATTTTTTGAGTGGTGTTATTTAAGCCCCACTAAAACTTCTAACCTATGTGTCATTTTTTTTTTTAATAATTAAAAGTATATTGTCAATTAAAATTATCAAGATATCCCCACCATTAAGTTATATAAATCAATAACCAAACAGTCGAATGATAGGATGATATTAATTCAAGATTAGAAATTGCAGCAATCTCAAGTTTTTCAATCCGAATGAGACTTTATATGTAGTAGAGGAGTTTGTAATCAAAGCTTTCTTTATCTTTTTATTTCTTTTTCGCTCGCTCTTCAATAACATCACCATTAATGGCTTTTAGGGTATGTTTGGTTAAGGAAATATTATACTATTGATAATGTTATAGCAATGGAAAGATGAATTACCTTAAAGATTAATGGAAATGTTTAGGAAAATGTGTTTGGTTAGTTAGCATAAATTGGTGAGTATGTTATATAATTTACTAAATTACCCTCCTTTTTAAATATTAATATAATATTTTTTTCGAATAATTTTTTTTAACCCCCTACGTTTGAGATATCGCTAAAACATCTCAACCACATAAAAGTTTAATTTCTAACAAAATCACCCCCACCTACCCTAAGCCACTGCTGGCTGCCTGCCACCACTGCCGACGACGACAATAGTGGACTGAACGGCCAAAATAAATCTGGTCATTAACGGCCAAAAGCTGTAGATCTGGCTGGAAACAGCTAAAATGGATCTAGTCATTTCAGCCCAGCCAAATCTACGATGATGCGGTCGAAAATGGCTAGATCGGCGCACGGTTGGTCGGATCTGGTATTTCATGCGCTGTTCTGGCTCTAGCGGCCGATGGTGGTGGCCAAATCCGACCACCAACCTTGGGTAATTTTTTAAAGTCTAGGGTTATTTATGTCCTAAAAATTTTGTATATAAAGATAAAATAGTCCATTAGTATTTTTGCAAATTGTTTTTAAAACAAGGGCATTATTGTCCAAAAATTTTAATAATTAGGAGTAAAATTGTAACAAAATTAAGATTACCAAGTAATCTTAAAATAACTAAGAAAATTGTGGTAACCAGATTATCTCCTATATAACCAACAATAATTACTATTAGTTTTAGAGTATTACTGGAATCTTATATTACGTAACAACTAAACGCAATAATCAAGTAATATAAGATGACATTACTTTAGTAACGAAGAATTACCCCCATCCAAACACACTCTTATAAACTTTATATTTATGTAGAACAATTCTTTACTTTAGCCTAGCATCATCCAGATGGCTATATTTATAATTAAGTGTTAAATATTTAGAAGTTAATTTTTTTAATTATTTTTTAAAATAATAAGGCTTACAAAAAATTTAAGTGGGCTTAAATAACACTTTTTTTTTTTTTTTTTTTTTTTTTTTTTTTTNCCACCATTAAGTTATATAAATCAATAACCAAACAGTCGAATGATAGGATGATATTAATTCAAGATTAGAAATTGCAGCAATCTCAAGTTTTTCAATCCGAATGAGACTTTATATGTAGTAGAGGAGTTTGTAATCAAAGCTTTCTTTATCTTTTTATTTCTTTTTTGCTCACTCTTCAATAACATCACCATTAATGGCTTTTAGGGTGAGTTTGGTTCATGAAATATTGTATTATTGAAAATGTTATATCAATGGAAAGATGAATTATCTTGAAGATTAATAGAAATGTTTAAGAAAATGTGTTTGGTTGGTTAGCATAAATTGGTGAGTATGTTATATAATTTACTAAATTGTCCTCCTTTTTAAATATTAATACAATATTATTTTTGAATAATTAATTTCTTTTGACTCCCTACATTTGAGATATTGCTAAAACATCCTCGCCACATAAAAGTTTAATTTCTAACCAAATCACCCCCACCCACCCCAAGCCACTATCGGTTGCCTGCCAGCACTGCCGACGGCGACAGTAGTGGACTGAACGGCCAAAATAGATCTAGTCGTTAACGGTCAAAAGCTATAGATCTGGCTGGAAACGGCTAGAATGGATCTAGTCATTTCCGGCCCGGCTAAATCTACGATGATGTGGCCAAAAATGGCCAAATCGACGCACAGTCGGTCGAATCCAGTATGTCGTGCGCTGTTCTAACTTTAGCGGCCGACGGTGGTGGCCAAATTCCGCCACCACCCTTGGGTAATTTTTTTAAAGTCTAGGGGTATTTATGTCCTAAAAATTTTGTATATAAAGATAAAATAATCCATTAGTATTTTTGTAAATTGTTTTTAAAACAATGGCATTATTGTCCAAAAAATTTAATAGTTAAGGGTAAAATTATAACAAAATTAAGATTACCATATAATCTTAAAATAACTAAGAAAATTAAGGTAACCATATTATCTTCTATATAACCAACAATAATTACTATTGGTTTTAGAATCTTATATTATCTAACAACTAAACGCGATAATCAAGTAAATATAAGATGAAATTACCTTAGTAACGAGAGATTACCCCCCAACCAAACAGACTCTTATAAACTTTTTTATTTTCTTTGAATTTATCAATAAATATTTATATAGAACATTTCTCATATTTACTTTTTTACTTTAGTCTATCATCATCCAGATGGTTATATTTATAATTAAGTGTTAAATATTTAGAAGTTAATTTTTAATTATTTTTTTAAATAAAAAGGCTTACAAAAAATTTAAGTGGGCTTAAATAACACTACTTTTTTTTTTTCTTTTTTTTTTTTTTTTTAAAAGAACCTCGGCAGAACAAAGGAGTTTTTTATTGGAAAGAGGGAAAACAGTAAGACAGGGAGACAAAATGAACAGGGCCTTAGAAAAGTGAATTCCTAATACAAGGAAATTCAACACAGATAAATCAAACAAGATGCATGGACGGTCTCATAAAGCAAACTAAGAAAGCAAATAAAATTTACTTAAACCTATAGTGAGGAAGGTTCCAAGTTTGATGGTGAATAGTTCTAATTTCGGAAAGAGCTGACAGCTGAGCTCCACCAAGAGCACTATTAATTCAACCATGCATTATCTTTTACTAAAAATAATTAATAACCATTCGCAGTCTCAGTTCTATCCTAAAAAATTAATCTTTGTATACGTAATAATAAACTCTTCATAACTGTAATATAATTCATAATCAACTTTCTTTTTAACGAAAAAAAAAAAACCCATTGAAGCACTATAATCAATGATAAAATGAAATCCAAGGCAATTAGCTAAACATGAACACAACTTATTTGATAGGAATTATATGTGTTAATTTCACTCGATTTTACCATGGTTCAGAAAAATGTTAAGTGAATTGAGTTTTTAGTTTTGAGTGATAAGGGGGGGATTTTTTTTTCTTTCACTTTCCCCCCCAAACCTAAACTATAAATAACCCCTCTATCCACCCATTTTCCTCACAACTCTCAATCTCTGTTTCTCTCTATTCTAATTCTCAAACTTTCTTCAATTTATATTTATATTTATTCATCTATTATTCATATTATTATTTAATTTCTTCCATTTTTTAATTTCATCTATTATTCATATTATTAGTTATATTATTCAATTTCTTCCATTTTAGTTATTTATTATTTTATCATAAATTCATAATGGATCGAAATTATGCATTCAGAGGGTCATCTCCAAATGAGTATTATGTTTCATACACCGAAGAAATGGAAAGGTTCGATCTATTTTCACCATTTCCAGAGACAGCAATTCCATAACCAGAAACGGTTGGGATTGTGTGCAACCAAACACAAGCGAGTTGCGACACCACGAGCATGGCAAAACCGTCAAAGAGGGTCGTACTGAGGTATGACAATACTTTACTAAATCAAAACGGGCAAAGCCAAAGGAGGAGGGGGAAGAAATGTGCTGGGTATGTAATTTTTGTCCAACTGTTATCGGCGTTGAGCACGAGACTTCAACGATGCGGCAACACTTGGAGAAGAAGCACCCCCAACATATGCAGTCGGATCATCTAGTTCAACTACAATCGCACCCAGTAAGCAAATTCAAACTCAACTTAATTTTAATCTAAAATCCTCAACTCTCTCAACCTGACAATACAATGCACTCAAAGCACGAAAGGCAATAGCAAGATACATAGTTGCTACAGACTCTCCTCTTTCTTTATCTGAAAATCCTTATTTTGTTGAAATGATTAAAGATGTTTTTTGTCTAACATATAGCCCTGTTAGTAGAGGTGTAAGTAAAAAGAACATACAAAAACTTTAAAATAAAATAAGAGATCAACTTAAAATAGAATTTGAAAATTTTAAGAATATATCTATTGCACTTTCAGACATATGGGTTGCTAGATCAAAAAAAGATTTTTTGAGTGTCACAATACATTACCTAGATCATAGTTGGCGTTTATAACAAAAATTGATAGGTTTTAAACCATTGTATGTTAAACATGGTGTTGAGACTATTTATTTTACAACTATTGAAATTTTGCAAATTATTTATTGATTGAGAGAGTTGTAGCGGTAACGATTGATAATGCAGCTGCTAACACCGCAATAATTTCTTTA